AAAGAGAAAGAATTTATGAATAGACTTGAGGAGGAATTAGATTATTTTTTAAAAGAAAATAATAATGAGGCAACTACGAAACAGAATATTTGGGATACAATGAAGGCAATAATAAGAGGTACAATGATATCATATACCGCTAAAAGAAATAAAGAAAAATATGCCCAACAAAATAAATTAGAACAAAGAATCAAAGAATTAGAAATTCAGCTGCAAAACACCCCAAAAGATTGTAAATTGAAAAAACAGATGATAATAACTAAACATAAATTAAATTTAATCAAACAAGAAGGAATGGTTTCAAAGTTGAATACAGCTAGACAGGTATTTTTTGAACAGGCCAATAAACCAGGAAGGTGGTTGGCCTACCAACTTAAAAAAGAAAAACAAAAAAGATTGATCTACCAATTAATAGATGAGAATGGGGATGCCCAACAAGGGATAGAACAGAAAAAAGAAATTGCATGTAAATTTTTTGAAAATCTTTATAAAAAGGAGAAGGTAAATGAGGACATGATAAGAAACTATTTGGGTATTACTAAAGATAAAATAATCAAGGAGGAGATGAGGAAATGTTAACTAGAGACATTACATGGCCCGAGTTAAAAACAGCAATAGAAAACCAAAAGAAAAATAAAACCCCAGGGGAACTTTATAAGAAAATAGGAGAACAAATAGGATCTCTCATGGTGGCAGTATATAATGAGGTCCTACTAGCAGCAAGAATGCCAGATTCATGGAAGGAGACACTGAGATCGCTGATTCTGAAAGAAGATTCAGATTTATGACTTATACAAAATTATAGACCAATTTCCCTGTTAAATATAAAATATTTACCACAATTATAGCAGATAGATTAAAAAAATATTGAATGAATATATACATAAAGATCAAAACGGATTTTTTCCCAATAGACAAATTAGGAATAATTTAAGAATAGTACTAAGTGTTTTGGAATACTACGAAGCCCACACAGAAAAACAAAAAGCCCTTGTATTCTTGGATGCACAGAAGGCCTTTGACAATCTAAATTGGCAATTCCTAATCCAACAAATTTACAATATGAATTTAGGCACTAAATTTGAAAACATTGTGACTACAATTTATGATTCACAAAAGGCGAATGTTATAATTAATGGAGAGTACATGCGCTCAATAAAAATAGAGAAAGGAGTTAGGCAGAGATGTCCACTATCTTCCCTGCTCTTCATATTATCTTTGGAAACATTGCTTACACGAATTAGACAGAATCCAGGAATAAAAGGGCTGCAAGTTATAAAAGAAGAATATAAACTCCAGTCATTTGTGGATGATATGGTATTTTTCATAGAGGAACCAATTGAAACAGGTCAAGAACTGTTGAAAGAGTTAGATCAATTTGGGAAAGTTGCAGGACTTAAAATGAATAAGGAAAAAATTAAATTAATAACTAAAAATTAACAGAAAAACAAAAACTAAAATTGGAAAGGATAATGGGATTACAAATAGTAGAAAAAGTTAAATACTTAGTTAAATACTTAGGAATTTGATTGATGGCTCAGTGCAAAACTCTAATGGAAAATAATTATAATAAATTATTACAGCAAGTCAAAAAAGATTTAGAGATATGGGTTAAGGTGCAAATTTCCTTATTAGGGAGAATTGCCACTATAAAAATGAACATTCTACCCAAATTTATTTACTTATTCCAAAAAATACCAATAAAATTACATAAAAATTACTTTGTGGAACTTAACAAGATAATCACCAAATTTATTTGGCAAGGGAAAAAACTGAGGATAAACCTAAAGGCAATGCAAGATATGAAGAGCAGGGGAGGTATGGCACTCCCAAATTGGGAATTATACTGTAGTGCAGCCTCCTTACTTTGGTTGAAAGAGTGGGTAAATCTGTCAAATAAAAGGATCTTATTTCTAGAAGACCATGACTTACAGAGGGGATGGCACTGGAAAAATCAAACAGAAGTATTTCCACAGACATATAATTAGAGATTCCTTATTGGCTAATTGGAACAAAATAAAAAATATATATTTAAAAATCCCAATCTGGATCTCAACGATGGAGGCGATACATCCAAATAATCTAGATCTTAATAAAATGATAAAATACAAAAACCTTCTTAATGCGCAAGGAACTTTAAAATCATGGCAAGATCTCCAAGAACAAGGGCTACAAGTAGACCGGTGGGCTTATTTGCAAATTCAAAATAGATATAGCCAGGACAAGAAAATTTTTGGAATTTATGCTAAGCTACAACAATTAGATAAAATCCTATTAGGCCCAGATAAAAAAAAATATAGCTACATTTTATAATTATTTATTAGAGATAGAATTAGAAGAGGAAGTAATCAAAGGCAATATGATAGCTTGAAGTAGAAACATAGGACGTAGCATTACATTATTAGAATGGGAAAAGTTCCGGACAAGGAATAATAAAATTACAAAATCAGCAACATATAAAGAAAATGCCTATAAAATGTTTCATAAATGGCATCTCTTGCCCTCGAAAATTGCAAAAATGTCTCCTAACATGAATCTGAATTGCTGGAAATGTAAAAAGAAACATGGAACATTCTTTCACATGTGGTGGTCCTGCACCAAAGCCCAAAGATACCGGCATAGAATTTAAAAAATGGTTAGGGGAAATAACAGTGGAGCAAATTGAATTAAAACCAGAATTCTTCTTATTGGGGATATTTAATAGACAAATTTCTAAAAAAGTCAAATGTATAATACTGCACATTCTTACTGCAGCTAGAATAACCTTTGTACAGTGTTGGAAACAAGCAGATATCCCAACAGATGAAATGGTCATTCAGAAAATAACAGCCTGTGCAGAGATGGATAAGTTAACCTTAGCACTTAAGGAAAAAGAAACATCAGAATATTATAGAAGCTGGGAATGCTGGTATGACTGGATAGGAAATATATTAGTAAACAATGTAAAATGTAAAAGAGGTAGTAATCATATACTTGCAATAAGAAGTATTTCTAAATATATCACCAATATTGATAACAAACAAGGAACCATAGACTGTCGATAATAAAATTGCTAGTTTTTAATCGTTTTTTTCCTTTTCCCTTTTTTTCTGTGTGTTGTGTATGAGTTTGTTTGACATTTTAGTTGTATAATTAATAAAGTTTGTTTAAAAAGAAAAAAAGAAAAAAAGTGACTTATGAACATTTTTCACACCTACGTCCACTGAGGTACCCCTGTGGTCATGTGATCAAAATTCAGATGGTTGCAGTGTGATCACCCTTTTGCGAGTTTCTGACAAGCAAAATCAGTGGAGAAGCCAGATTCACTTAACAGCCATGTCACTAACTTAACAACTGCAGTGGTTCACTTAATAACTGTGGGAAGAAATGTCACTAAAAAGTGGGATAAAACTCACTTAAACGATTACCTTGTTTAGCAAGATAAATTTGAGGCTCAATTGTGGTTGTAAGTCAAGGACTATCTGTAATTTCAGGAGGAGAAATACATATAAAAACCTACACGTTCCAGCTTTTCTGTTCTATTACATCTTTCCCTATTTTTTATTAAAATAAAATAATTGTAGAGCCCATTGGCTTTCTGTGTATAAGCTAGAGTTAATTAGTGGACATTTTCATGCTGTTGATCAGCACTGTGTCTTTGAAATGGTGCTTTAAATTGCAATAAAGAGCAGTTTAGAAATAATCACCTCATTTCATTTTTGAAGGAACCCCATCTGGGAGATGGGACTCTGGATAGCTCCTAGGGCCTGGATATCGGAATGGCTGCTTGCTTCCAGTCATATCTGCCCACAAAATACATTCTGACAGAGTAGGTGCACTCCAGATCCCTTCTATTAAATATTGTCCTCTTGGGAGACCAAGAAAATACGCTTTGTCCTCTTCTGGAACAGCATCCTGCCAGAGATAAGGATGGCGCCCTCTCTCCCAGGGTTCCAGAAAGCTTCAAAAATCTGGCTTTGGTCCTAAGACTGCAGTTGATATATCATTACTTGCCTAGGATCCCTGCCTTGTTTTGTTTCTGTTGTCTGTAAGATTATTTTAGTCTGTACTGTCCATTTAGTTTAATGCTTTTATGGGGTTATTTTAAATAGTGGCGAAACTTAATGAAAAAAATAAATCTTTGCCCTACTTCACCATTCCAGAAAGCCCCAGATAGATAATCCAGAAAATGACTATTCATAGTAAGCTTGATGGCTGAAGAAAAATGTGAAGCAGAGTCTTTGAGTCTGTTCCGCCGTCTCTAGGGACCAGCTGCTTCAAGCCTGGAAATTGCAGGATCTTGTTTTCACTGGATCCCAGATGGAATTCAAAGCTTAGGAAATGGAGACATGCTGTACAACCCATACTGGGATTTGCTTAGTCTTGAAGGCTTTTAGCTGTTTCTGCAATTATGTTTTTACTTCTTCTGTTGTTTTGATTAGTGATTATCAGTTTTAGATGATTTTAAGTATTTCCTCTGGAGTCTGGATCATCTTGCTAACCTGCACTTCCGGCTCAGCAGCTGTAGGAGAAATGTAACGAACAAATTGTAAATGAAAATGTGGTACTTCATGAAAGTTACCACAATAGCGTAGCACTTAGACTTATATTCCGCTTCACAGTGCTTTACAACTCTCTCCAAGGCGTTTACAGAGCCGGCATATTGCCCCCAACGAAACTGGGTTCTCATTTTACTGACCTGGGAAGGCTGAGTCAACCTTGAGCCAGTCAGGATCGCACCCCTCGCAGTCAGCAGAATTAACCTGCAATACTGCACTCTAACCACTGCACCACCAGCGTACGTAGATTTGCCGTAAAATTGATCAAGTTCTGTGATAAAGGCAATCACAGATAAGGACGGAGTGAGAGGCTGTGTATTTGCATTTGTTCAGGAGAAATATCTATCAATCGTCATCTCCTTTCTGCAACGTCACCCTACAGATTTGCTCTGGTCCTCCAACTGAGGTTGGAAAGATCTTCATTCTGGACCAACTGTCTCCTGTCCTGTTCTCCTTTTTCAGCTTCTTCTGCTTCATCGTCTTTGGCAAATGCCCCAGTAGAAGCAGAGCAAGCATGGCCCCAGAGCAGCGGGGAAGAAGAGCTGCAGCTGCAGCTGGCACTGGCCATGAGTAAAGAGGAAGCGGAGCAGGTAAGCGCCAAGGTAAATCTGCCACTGGAGGCTCTTTGGATTCACAGAGGGGGGCAAAGAATGGGCAAATTGTCATTGTCTGATGGGATATAAAATACTGTATATTTCAATGGGGTGGGGGGGCTGTTATTTGGTGTGAAAATTCTCATTTGAATCTATTGAAGCTTAAAAGAACTGTCATGTGGAAGAATATAAAACTTTATTAGATCAGGAACACTATTTTGATTTGGGGCCATTCTTCTTTTTCTCTGTAGGAAAAAACATCTCCAGAAGTTTCCTCTCCCCACCTCAAAGTCTAGCTGGTTGAAAAATTGAGCAGCTGTAGACTTGCATAGGTTATTCTAGCTCAGCAGTCTCAACTTCATGACATTTAAGAGCTGTGGATTTCCACTCTCAGAATTCCACAGCCAGAATGTTGGTTGAGGGATTCTGGGAGTTGAAGTCCACACACTTCAAGTTGCTGAGGTTGAGGAACATGGCTACAGGCCATGAAGAGAATCAGAAATAGAGCCTGCAGGCTTTAAAATTTGTTCCCTTATTTATTTTCCACCCTGGAGAGTGATGTTGTGGACTTTGCATTAAATCTAATCTCAAAACATAGCCTGGTCTGTATAGCCAGAAAGGTTGGGGACCAATGTGCTTAGGCGCTTGAGATCATTTTTAAAGTCCCCCACCCCCCCCCCCCCCTGATGAGAAAAAAGGTTTATGAATGGTAAACTCCAGGTATTCAATGACTCACCTCCTTTTGATGGTTGTTCAGTGCCAAAAAATAAGTACAGGTGTTCTTTTTGCTACAACAGTAATTGGGGTCTAAATTCCTGTCACTGAATGAACAGTCATAAAGTACAATATCACTTTACCTCATCGTTCAGCAATGAGAATCCCAGCAGTTCCCGCTGTTAATAGAGTCCCAAAGTTCGTTAGGCAGGGACCCACCCCAATCCAAGGGATTCCTGGCTTGGCCCCTCCCAGCCCTGAGCCTTAGTAACCGAAGGGACTGCCCCTTTGGCTCCCCCACCGCCTGTCTCCCCCCCGCCCCGTCTCTGCTGTTTTTGGCCACCCTACAGTCCACCACCTGGGAAGAAACCCAGCTGTGATTTGGACAAGGCTGCATGTGGCCCTGGGAAGAAAACCTAGCGCGGCCAGCAGCTACATCATGAAGGGCCAGGCCAGATGCGCCTTGTCAACAGTGGATGGAAGAAGATGGGGAAGGCCAGCCGGGAGCAGCAGAGCTGGCAGGGTGAAGGGAACGCAGGCTGGCAGGCCAAATGGCGCCCAGGGCCTGCAGAACCCAGAGTGGCAGGACCAACAGAGCTGGTGGAGGGCAGGGCAGCCAAAATGGCAGAGATGGTGCCAAGAGGAATTGGTAGGGAGGAGTTGAAAAGCACCCTTCCAGTTATTTGTTGGTGGTGGTCTACAAAGTCCCTGAATTTTGATCACATAATCAGAGCAGGGGCAGTGGAATGGCCGTATCTTTGGGGACTGGGCAGTAACATTCACTCACTGCTGTCGTAATTTCAAACGGTTGCTGATCTTCAACTTTGTTTCCACTGTATTATGCTGCTGCTTTATCAGCAATTATTAATTACTTTCAATTCTGCTGTGCATTTGTTGCCCTATTTTTTAATTCAAAAATTAAAATTAATTCAAAAATTAAAAAGCTTAAAAAGATGATAGCGAGGAAGTCTCTGGTTTTAATCATTTAAAGGTTTTAAAAGGGTAGATTAATTTTATTTTGTTTTCTGAAGGCTATTTTAATCAGCTTGGATTCAGTTTGAATAATCAAATGGATTTTATGCATTGATTTTTCAGATCAGATCAATTTAGAAAATTGATTTGAAATTGCCTTCAAATCAGATGATTTGAGTTGAAGCTGTCACATAGGCTGATGCTGAAGGGGCTTAAAGAGGGCTCATAGGTAAATGGCCAGTGCCCAATTGAATGACAACTGCACCAAAAAGCAGCAGTAGAATGTATGTGTGTGTCACTAATTAATCAAAAAGAGCCAAAAATGGCTGATAGTTGCGGTAGATTGCAATGTCTAGAGGGAGTCAGATTTGAGGAAGAAATATTTTTTTAAAATAGGCTGTTTTATTAGGCAGCTTTCCCTCTTCTGATGTCTTCCAGATGTGTTGGACTGTAGCTCTCACATTATGGCTTTGTGTTATGTGCAGAACAGACTGATGCAGACTTGAAGCTGTTGAGAGTCATGGATCTGGTTTAACAATTATGCCTGCGGGATAGAGAGAGTTGTGGAAGGGGGTTAATACTGTCAGTTCCTTCAGCTGTTGCTCCTCTTAAAGAGTGTGATCCCTGTTTAAAATGTCTCGACTGGAGCCCTTAGAGTGCCAGCTAAGGAAGCTGAATGTTGATAGGGATTGTTCTGAGCATAATCGAGCTTCGAAGTAAGTATTTTGTAATGCATTTGGTCAAGATAAGGGATGAATTGCTGTCCAGAAATCTTCCAATGCCATTGGAAGTGAAGTCAGTCACCATAGTCTTCTGGATCAGCTTCGAGCGGTGGGATGGCCAGTATGGGGGTGTTCTGTCTTTCCTTCTTCCTCCAGGGCTGGTTCCAGTTTATATGGATAGGGGAGGAGACCCCCAGCCTGTGACTCCACCTACATGGGGCTCAGTGCTTTCTTCTCTCCTGTTTAATGTCTGCCTGAAGCCCCTGGGTGAGATCATCCTTTTATTTGGGATGAGGTGTATCATAAGTGTACAGATGATACCCAGCTATCTATCTCCACTCTGGGCCATCTGAGCGATGCTGTGGAGGTCTTATTGATGTTGGGAGACTGGATGGAGAGCAAGAAACTTTGGCTCAGCCCTAGTGACTTTAGGTTTTAGGATCCCCTTGTTCTGGGGACTTTCCATCACTTGTTCCAGATGGGATTACCCTGCTGAAGACAGATCCCATACACAGTTTGGAGGTCTCCCTGGACTGGTGGCTCCCACTCAAGGAGGCAGCCACGGCTAGGAAGGCATTGTACAGCTTCATGTCGCACATCGGTGGCGCTGACTCCCATGGTCAGCTGGGGAATTGTGGGAATTGAAGTTCACAAGTCTTAAAATTGCCGAGATTGGAAACTCCTGGTTTAACGATGCACTTTTATCTACCTTTCCTCTGTTGTAGTTTTCCTAGCCCCTCCCTCTCCTAAGAAGCCTGCCTTCTCCACCAAATGGACCACTCTTGGGAAAAAAGATGCGCTCACGCACTCTGCCTAGGTGAAGCGAAGCCCCAGACTCTGTTGGTGATGATTAATTCTCCTCAGGACTTCTGCTGTCCAACCACTGTCTGTTTCCATCACTGAGCTGAGTGGCTCTTCTGGCACTTCCAACATGGCTCTCCAAGCATTCACCTCCTTCCCGGTTGTCTGTGGAGATTCCCAGTCTTCCAGGTCATAGTTGTCTCAAAGGTGCTTTTTCCCTGAACTGATGAAGCTTCTTGGACGAGAAGTAAAACGTTTCCTTCTCCTTCCTCATGGAAAAAGGAAAAGCCCAGTTGCCTTTTGAAGAAGAAAAAAGCACCTTTGAGACTCCTCCCCAGGGCCCTCTTGTCGGCTCCTTTCTGTCCCTGTGGCTCTTTCCAGAGGAAGTTGGTCCCCTGTGCTCACCCTCCAACCCCAACAACCCCATCCCACTTTGTCCTCTTATTTTCAGCTCCTTGTTTATTTTTTGGCACTTCCTTCCCATTTCCCTTGACACCCCCCACCCCCCCCTCCCATGCCGCATTTCCTCCTACTCCACCCTGTCGTTCATAAAGGGAAAGCAAATAAATTCTCATAGAGATATTAATTAAGATCTGTGCCATTGTGCTAGGTTTCTTAAAATACTATTTACTATTAAGGAAAGATGTCTAGGTAACAGGACCACACACCTACACAGAGAGAAGTCTAGCCCATAGCATGGGCTATTTTCCCTCCTCTTGACCCCATCAGTTTTCCGCCTCTGTTATGTTTGTATGAAAAAGTGATTCCTTTTTTATTTGAGGGCTTGGGACGATGTGATCAGGAAAGCTGGGATAAGGAGAAATATTTCTCCATAGAGCTTGTGCAAGGAGATTTCCCTTCTCCCGTGCCTATAGACAGAAGGAGTGAATGTCGGCCAACTTCTTCCCTCCTCCTCTCTTCTGACAGCTCACTTACCAAATCCAGTTTCTGGTTCCCTGTAGCTACCAGGCTGATGCTTCACGGACATGGAGACTAGCATAAAAATAGGTCTTTCATCTCCCACAGAGAAGGCCTCCCGTTTTCTAGATACCATCAGGTTGTGGCCCTTGTTCCACCGTGTTGGAAAAGCATAGGGAGAGCTGACAGATGAGCGTCACAGGGCTCTTGAACTTGGTTTCTTCATAGTCTGTTCATTTGAATTTCAGCCTTCTTTACCTGGTGGCTCGCTAGAGGGGTTGGATTTCGGTTCCCATCATTTATGGAAGTAGATGTCCATCACATGTGAACATACCTGATTGGGAAGGGTGATCCTGCCTAAAGGGTTGGAAAGTGATGGACCTGTGCAGACATATTTTTCTACATATCATGATACAGTTCCAATACAATTTACTTTTGCTTACTAGAATACTACTTCAGGCTTGGAGTGCTTTTGAAATTTTTGTGAGGATGTTGAATTGTAATCAGGAAGAGAAGTTACACCTTGCAAGTATACCTAGCACTGGTTCAGCCAATTTTCAGGGAAATGGAATTACTCTATGTGGGTCCTTGGTGCTCTCTGAGCTTGGTTGTTATCTTGCAGTCATTTCATTACCCAACTAGGTAACATCATCACGGCTAGAAGGGGCTTTACACTGATAATATTATCTAATTGGGTAATGAAATATCTGCAAGAAAACTGCCAAGCTTGGAGAGCACCAAGCACCCCACAGTTCAGTCCTGAGGTATAAATATTCTTTCAGAAACTAAATACATTGGGCAGTTCAAAATCTGGGAGGTGATGGGCTAGTTGATTGGATTGGGCTTTTGCAACCCAATGTGGAAATAGTTTTGAGAATTGGAGATACCCTTCGTCTGTCTGTCTTCTCCTCCTTCCTCTCCATGTGTCAAACTCCATTCCATGCCTCTTATGTTGTGTTTCTTCCCTCCCAGCCCCCTGCAGTGGCCGACGAAGACCTACAGCTCCAGCTAGCCCTTAGCTTGAGCAAAGAGGAGCACGACAAGGTTAGACTGCTATCATGCCACCCCACTCAGTTCTTCCTGAAATAATCAACTAAACTACTTTCTTTGAGCTAGTCTTGACCTCTCACACTTTCCTAACTAACATGGCATTCTCTGCCTCCCCAAGTCCCCACCCAAAGCAGAGCGATGGCGGAAATCTCTCTTTCAGCTTTAGGCCTCACTTATTGTCCGCTACCTGGTGAATTATCCGTTCTTCAGTTGGCCAGTTCCCAAGTTTCTCCCAGGGAGAGGCTTAGTAAGAAAAACCAGTCAATCCAGGTATCTTAAGCTTGACCGAGCTATGACTTGAACTCAGGCCTTCTAAACGTTTGATGAGAGTCTGCAGAAGCTTGGACACAATGTCCTGGAAGAAAAATGTACCTATGAGTTGGTGATGGGGAAAAGGGATCAGACACTCAATTGAAAAAGAAGCCCGTTTGGAACAAAGAGTTTGAATTCTTGATGTCTTTTCGGGTGTCTTTTCTCACCTTATCTGAAGGTGAAGTGGAAAGGCCAGAAAAAGAAGACCTTGAGTGTGTTATCTCTCGATGATGCTGGATTCGTCCAGTAGATGAAAGATAAAATACTAGAAATTCAGCCAGCAGGAATCCTGGAATGACAAGTTAACGCTGAGATCGCTGGGCACCTTGAGGGTCATATATTTAGTTTGGGGCCTGAGGGAGTTGTAGTGAACAGAAGATGCTTCCACTTGGACTCCACTCTTACGAAGTATTGGCAAAAGCAACCGAAATTCAGGATTCCAATTATTTGGGAGGAACTAGTTTGTTGGAGGGTTAGAACAGCATCTTGCTCACTTCTCTCTCTCTCTCTCTCGGATGTTTTTTTTTTTCCTGAAGATAACTTTTCAAAACAGAAACGGTAGCAGATGCTTCAAACTTGATCTGATACCTGGCCAAGCTGCTGCTCCATCTATATTCTGGCTCTTGCTCTCTCCTTGACAGAGGTGAGTAACCACCTGTCACTTTGTACTGCCTCCGTTAATGCCTCTGTCCTTTTCACAATCCTCTTACAGGAAGAGCGGATCCGGCGCGGGGATGACCTTCGCCTCCAGATGGCCATTGAAGAGAGCAAAAAGGAGACAGTCCCTGCTAAGGAGGAGGTGAGGCGGAAGAGGCAGGCTGGGAGCTGCCAACCGTGATAGTTAAACAGGGTCTCCCATGGGAAGGGGTAAAGAGGGTGGGAGGAGAGCAGCGTGAAGCAGCAAACAATTCCCTTTGTGCTCCGTGGGGTCAACTCCAAGAGGTATCTGGCTGGCAGTTTCTGAATACTCAAGTAGAAGACCTGTCAGGCACAAGTAACTACAGCGTGTCCCCGGAAATAAGCCTCAGCCTGTTTATGTTTGCACCTAATATAAGCCCTACTCCAAAAATAAAGCCTAGTGAAGGGGGTGGGTGTGACCATAATAGGAGGAGGAGGAGGCAAGCGCACGTGGGCCAACAGTGTCTGGCAGCAGCTGCAGCCCTCACAATAGAGGCGAGTTAAGTATCCGTGCAAGCAGCAGGCAAAAGCAGAGACAGGCGATCCAGCTGCACTGAGAAGATTGCGGGAAAGCCGAGTGGTGGCAGACCGGAGTTGTGGGCGGCTTGTCTTCAAGTCTCTCAACTTGCCTGCAGCCCACACAGGTTGTCAGAATCGCCTGCCTACCTTCCGCTCTGTGCCTTCCATTCTATGCAGTCTCAGAGTGTGCCGACCAAGGGACCGGTGAGCTGCAGCAGCTTCTGGATACCATCGGTCTCCATGCGCTTGTGTGCGCTGGGGGCAGGGCACCCAGGTGGGCTAATCACCCTGAATTTATGTTTCCCCCCAAAAATAAGCCCTAGTGCTTATTTTGGAGCCCCGAAAGAAAACAAGACTGGGTCTTACATTACGAACCAGGGAAAGGGAAGAAACCACTGGATGTTGACTGGAAAAGTGAAGGTGCACTACAGTTTTTCTCTTCCCCACTACAACCTTTCTCGCTTTCTCCATCACCCAGTCATCCTTGATGGACCTTGCCGATGTCTTCACTGCTCCACCGCCTGCTGATCCATGGGGCGCTCACGCTCCTCCTGCTGACCCTTGGGGTGGCGCTGCCACAGTTGTACCCACAGCTCGTACGGACCCGTGGGGACCCCCTGCTGCTGCTGCTGCCGCAGCCCCTGCAGGAGATCCATGGGGAACTTCTGCAGCGCCTCCGGTACCCCCTTCGGACCCCTGGGGAGCCCCCCCAGCTGCCAGTGCTGACCCCTGGAAGGCCGAAGGTAAGATCCAAATCTGGGCAGGATCAGACGTTTGAAACATTCTTCATCACCGTTACTTTTTAATGATGCGCTTGTGTGGGGTTCCTCTTCTGAAAAGATCTTTTAAGAAGAGGGGGTGAGCAACATGGGGTCCCTCTGCATTTCATAAGAACCGTGGAGGAGGCTGTTTACGACAGCTGCCTCCTCTGCTACGAGCTGCTTGGTGGAGCGTAGAGAAAAGAGTGTGGAGCAGAGGTACATAACTATGGCAACTTCACAACCTGTGGACTTCAACTCCCAGAACTCCTGGCTGGCTCAGGAATTCTGGGAGTTGAAGTCCTCAGGTTGTAAAGATGCCATACTTAGCCACCGCTGATGTGGAGTATAAAGTTGTGATAAAAAGAAAATGGGGGTATTAGAAACCATCCCATCTTTTGGTTCTGTCGCCCCCCTCCTGCTTCCTTTATCCCTTCCCAGCATGCAGCTTCCCACAGATTACCTTCCTGTGAATTGACTCTTTGCAGATGCAGAAAGGCTGCCTGGGCCTTTTCAGACATGAAGGGTGTGTGTGTGTGGGGTGGGGGGGAACGTTTCAGTCAGGTCAGGTCAGCACCAGACTAGGTGAGCCCTTCTTTTATGCTGTCTTCAGTCCCAGGATGAAGGGCATCGTCATTCCCAGGATTCCTCCTGGCTCTACAACCATGGCGCCTCTCTGCCTCTCATTTTTAATAAAGCGGTTCCCTGGGGTTTGCCCTAAAAGCCAATTCTCTCTTTATCCATTGAAAGAAAGAGGCCTTAGAGGTGCCGCGCAGACCCCACTTAACCGGAGATCCAGTTCTATTCTTAGCATTCCTACAGAAAGACGCTTGGCAGATATTTAATGTTTGTCCTTTATTGCACCCAATAAAGGACCCTTTTTAAGGGGTGTAACCACAGCTATAGGCCATATGGCCTCACTTAAGATTTGGGAAAAAGCATTACAAGTACTCCTCGATTTACAGCTGGTTGCTTGATGGGCTACTTACAACACATTTTTAAAGTTATGATGGATGCATACTCCACATACCCCCTACCACCACGGTGACATGATCACATTTTGGGCATTTGGCAATTAGCTTATGGCACTTAATTAATTATGGCAATTAACTTATGGCTGTTTGCAGCATCCCAGGATGACTTGACTGCATTTTACAACATATTGTTGCTAATTTCTAGCAGTTACTTCCAGTTTCTGGCAAAAAAAAAGAAAAGCCCATTGGAGAAAATAGATTCTCTTGATGACTGCCACGTTTGCTTAACGTCCGCCAGAAAATGTCAAAAAAATCAGGTCCAGTCACATGTTCAACCACAGTTCAATTTTGATTGGGAGAACTACCTGGATTAAATTGGCAGTTCTTGTTTTTCCTAATAATTTCACAAATGAAATTTCTCTTTTTTTAGAGCAAGCTCATGCTGGATTAATTTTTTTTTAAATCAATCTGTTCACTTTGACCCCAAGATCCTGGTTAGTCATTCCCTGTTCAGGCCTCTTTAACAAATATATTTTGTGCCAACACATGTCCCTTTAATTTAATTACATTTAACTGCATTTGCTGTTTGAAGCCCATTTATCTCCAAAACGGGAACCCTTTGAAACCTCTTGATTTAACACCAAGCTCTGAACCGTTTGCTGTCAATCGTTTGCGCTTATCCCTCGTTCCAGATCATTGGAATATCGAATAAAAAGTGTTGGTCCCAGCACCTGTTGCTGGAGGGCAGATGTTTTGCACATCTTTGCACAACTGAGAATTGCTCATTTATTTTTACCACTTGTTTCATTTCTTTAACCAGTCCCTGAGCGTATCTGCAGTCTTAACCCATGGGAGCTGAATTTGCTCAAGATCAGGGGTCTCCAAACCTGTCAACTTGAAGACCTATGGACTTCAATTCCCAGAATTCATGCTGGCTGAGGAATTCTGGGAGTAGAAGTCTGCAAGGCTTCAGGTTGCTATGCTTGAAGGCTCATGCTCAAGACCCTTGGCGAGGGATTTTTGAAAATCCAAGTGCACAGTATCTCTTAGATATCTTGTCCACACACTTGTCCCCACTGTCCCAAAACTCCAAAAGGTTCAGAGGATCACTCACCTTTTGGGAGCCACGTTGGCTTATTTTTAATCACTACTTTCTCTTTCCTGTGAGCCCCTTCTAGTCAGCACCAGTCTATCTAACAGGGAAGGCCATTTCCTTCGCTTGCGTTAAACCCCTTTGCAGTTTGACCAGTGGAAATCATGCTCTCCTCTACGGTCATTCAGAATGCAGAAGAGCAGTGTCAGGAGAGATCTGGAAGTTCTTCTACTTCAAACCTCGGTCTGCTCAAGCAGGAGACCTGCCCATTTTGGACAAACGTCTGTTCAGTCTCTTCTTTAAAACTTCCACCGATTGAGCCTTATTTTGGCCACCTCACCTCTCAAAGCCCTGCTGTGTTTCCCTTGTCCGCTCGGATCTAAACATGCCGTCACTGCTAGACAGGCAGTTCTTGAATTCCACCTCTGGCATGGTTCGTTTTCTTCCCAGGTGGGACTTCTGTGGGGCCTGCAACAGCACCACCCACAGACCCGTGGTCCTCCAGCACGGTTCCCACATCCCAAGGACAGCCTCCTCCTCCTCCTCCTTCTGATCCTTGGACTCCAGCGTCCACTTTTTCAGATCCCTGGGGGGGCTCCCCTTCTAAGCCTAGCACCAATGGCATGGCAGGTAAGGATGAAGGGAACAGGAGGGGCTTGGGGACCAAGTGCCGGGGGAGGGGCCAGTATTTCTCACTGGGTCAGCTGAAAGGGAAGGGCTCCTACTTCAGACTTGGAGTAGAGGGCCTTTTGCCTGCTCCCAGCTAATCCTTCTCCCCCTTCCTTCCTCTTGTGTGCCCTGTTCCTCTCCCAGCTGTCAGAGGCTTTGAGCAGTTTGATGACAGGGACAGGGATGAATTCTCTGATTTTGACAGCCTGCGCCCAGCACTGCCCAAATCTGGAAGCAGCACAGGTCAGCCTTGCTCCCCCCACCCTTTCCCGTTCCTTTTCCCTTTCCTAGGCATGGTTCCTAGTGCTTCGCCCCAGTGTGTTTTTCAGTCTTGGCAGCTTGAAGATGTATGGACTTCAACTCCAAGAATTCTCCAGCCAGCATGGCTGCCTGGGGATTTTGGGGGAATTGAAGTCCATGCATCTTCAGGTTTGCCATGCTTAGAGAAACACAGCTCTTACCTCCCTTTCCTCTAACCTGTCCAGGCCTGTGGTTTGTGGACTAGATGATCTCTAGCTCCCCTGGCATGGGAGGGAATTTGCATGCTCCTCCCTTTGATTCTCTCCCTCCCTATCTCCTCTAATCTTGTTTGGACAGTGGCTTTCCAAACTACTGTGTTTTTGGGACCATAAGACGCTCCTGACCATAAGACGCACCTAGCTTTTGGGGAGGAAAACAAGAAAAAAAACCTGCCTCTGCCTCCCATCAGTTTGCCTCCTTGCAGCAAACAGCCTGATCAATTTCAGCACAGCTTGATTTATCACAAGCAACTGATTGACGGTTGGATTGGCCTCCCGGAATACCGCCAATCAGCTGTTCCAGGCTGCAGGGACCGCTACCACTCATTGGCGGCGCGGCCTATTGCTGTCCCATTTTCTGTCTCTGTGCACCCCATTTTTGGCCTGTTCCAGCAATCCCCACCGCTTGGAGCGGACCGAAAATGGGGCGCACGGAGGTGGCGATGGGTGGTGGCGATCCCCGTAGCCTGGAACAGCTGATCAGCAGTATTCTGGGCGGCTGATCCAATTGCCAATCAGCTGCTCATGCTTAATCAGGCTGTGCTTAAGCTCACCAGGCTGTTTGCTGTTTGCTGCAAGGAGGCAAATTGCTGGGAGGCAGAGGCTGAAGGGTGGGGGCTGACGGGTGGGCGGGGCTTCAGCAACATTTGTGCTATAAAAGGCACAGGCATTTCCACCTACTTTTTTGTGTGGCGGGGGGAGTGTGTCTTATAGCAGTGGTCCCCAACCTTTTTTGTGCCGCGGCCCAGTACCGGCATCACAAAATCATCTGCGGCCCGGTACCAGCATCAGCACGCATGGCAAGGCGAGCTGAGCGACCGGCCAGCCAGCCGACCCCTGCTTCTCCCCGCCACCTTCAACTCCTCCTTTGTACCTGTGTCGATGGGCTTTGCGACGGCTTCGGGACGGTCACTCGGCTCACCTTGCCATGCGTGCTGAAAGAATCCTCGCGCCTTAGTTTTGTTCGAAGCCGCCCCCCCCCCTCGATGAAACTAAGGCGCGAGGATTCTTTCAGCACCCAAATGCCGCTTTCTACCCGGAAAAGCTCACCGGAAGCACTTTTTCATCAAAACAAGATGGCGGCGCCCAGCAAACCGGAGGCCCGGTAGAAATTGTTCCACGGACCGGTCCTGGTCCCCGGACCGGTGGTTGGGGACCCCTGTCTTATAGTACGAAAAATACAGTACATATTCTTGAATGTGGTTCGAAAGAGATGGGGAAATAATTTAATACCTAGGGGAAGGAGGGTATAGTTTATGCTTTTGGGAAGGAGGTCAAAATGATTGTGGACCGCCATAAACCAAACTTCAATGCCCAACCAAGTGCCCTGTTTAAAATGGAGTCTGCGTTTTTCGTCCATGTTCTCTGTGATTCTGGATTTTTACTCCTCCCTTCCTCCCACCCTTCCTCTCTCTCTCTCTCTTATTTCTTGTTCCACAGGTGAACTGTCCCTCTTAGCAGGGGAGGTCCCTGTCTCTCAGGCTGGCAGTGGCAAAGACAGCCCCAATGCTTTTGATATGGCTGCCGTGGCTGGGTCACTGCCAGAGACTTGCAAGCCAATGCGTAAAACCCCCGAGTCGTTCCTGGGTCCCAATGCAGCCCTTGTTGATCTGGACTCGCTGGTCAGCAAACCTGCCGCTCCATCCAGCAGCACCAAGGCTTCGAACCCCTTCCTCCCACCTGGTAAGGGCTTGCATGCTTTGGGGTGTCGGGGGGGGGAACTATTTAGAGCAAATAAAGGGGGCCCTACTTATTGCTGTGCTCAAGAAAAATCAAACTTGGTTTGAAGTGTAGGAACTCGGTTCCACTGCACTGATTTCACTGAAATAGAAATCAAAAGGAATCATCTTTGTTTGAAATAATTACAGATAGTCTTTGACTTAAGACCACAACTGAGCCAAGAATTTACATTGCTAAGTGAGAAATTTGTTTAAGTGAGTTTTGTCCCACTTTACAACTATTTAAGTGAATTCGCTGCAGTTTTTAAATTAGTAACATGATTTGTTAAGGGAATCTGGCTTCCCTACTGACTCAGAAGTTCGCAAAATGTAATCATGTGACCCAGGGACACTGCCACCGCCATAAATATGAACAAGTTGTCAAGCCTTTGAATGTAAATGACGTGACCGTGGGAATGCTGCAACGGTCGTAAGTGTGAAAAATGTTCATGTCACTTTTTTTTCAGTTTTTTTGAACAGTCACTAAAGAAACTGTTGTATGTTATGGACTACTGTATAAGCAACACTGAAATCAGACTAGCCAGTTTGGTGTGGTACACCAGGCTAGAAAGCAAGAGACAGACTGTGAGTTCAAGGGAAACTTTGGGGCATCACTAGGAGACTTTGAATTATAGTCCTGCCTTAACTATGAAAACCAGGTAGGTGATTTGGACCAATCACCAGGAGACTGTGAGTTCTAGTCCCACCTTAGCCATGAAAGCCAGCTGAGTGACTTTTGGCCAATCATGGTCTCTCAGCCCAACCTACCTCCCAGGGATGTGGTTGTGGTTATGGGGAAAATAGGAGAAAGGTGTGTTAGATACGTTCACCACCTTGAGTTATTTGTAAAAATAATAAAGGCGGGATACACATAAATAAATTTTAAATTCTTTTTTGAAATAGCTTTATCCCAATTTAACTGCCTGGCAAAATGATAATTAGCAAACTTCCATTGTTCTCAGCTGGTGTGGGAATTACAGGGTGTGATTACCAAAAGTATTACGGAGTAGTGGTTCAGGTTTTGACTGTGGAGACCAAGAGTCAACTTCCCACTTCACTTTCAGGCTTACTGGATAATTGGGTTTCAGTCATGGTCTCTCAATCCAGCCTACCTCAAAGGGTTGCCGTGGTGATGAAATGAGTGTCATTTTCAGCATCTAAAGCACGGGTGTCAAACTCGATCGCATCACATGACACATTGTGATGTTTTTTGCCTTGGTGGAGCTGGGATGGGTGTGGCCTGCGCGTGATGCATCCGGGCCATGGGCTGCCACCCCTGAAAAGGGTCAGTAAGAAATAAAATGTTACAAGACTAGAAAGGTAGGAATTTCTTTATCTCGATGGGGGCCCATACTGGGAAAACCTTGTGAAGGTTTATTCACAGAACAGAGTTTGCTGGCACTAAGCAGGGCCAGACTGACAGGTGGAACCTTCTAAAGCAGTGTTTCTCAAGCTTGGAAACAATGTTTGGACTTCAAGTCCCAGAATACCCCAGCCAGCATGCTAGCTCAGGAATTCTGGGAGTTGAAGTCCACAAGCTGCCAGGGTTGAGAAATACATTTCTAGAGGATGCATTAGTCCAGGGGTCGCCAACCTTTTGGACCTCAGGGACCACGAAACTCATAATTTTAAATCCCGGGGACCACTAACTGATTAGGCATGGCCTAATTTGTGGGTGTGGCTTGGTGGCCATATGACTGGCTGGGCATAGCGTGCATGTAAATATTATAAATATTTATATAAATATTTATTTTTTTTACTAAAAAAGGGCAACTTTTACCCAAAATCAGGCAAAGCAGGCAGTCAGGCAGATTGAGTTGCTCACAGAATCACAGATTCATTGAGAGATCTATCTATCTGCCATCGGCTAGCTCACTCTGTCACATAAAATTTGCTTGCAAGCAAACTCATAAAATTTGCTAGCAAGGAAACTCACAAAATTAACTCACAACACATCATGTATGTTACCCAAAATGAGGCAAAGCAGGCAGGCAGATTGAGTTGCTCACAAAATCATTCAGTGATCTGTCTATCTGCCATCAGCTAGCTCAGTCTCTCTCAGTCTCTCAATTTGCTTGCCGTGAGTCTGCACTGAATAATAGAACCTTCAGCCCTAAGGGAGGTTCGGCTGTGCTAAAAAGCAGAGCCAAAGATCTAAAGACAAGCTAGAAAGCAAGAAATCCAACTATTTCCTGCTTTCTAGCCAATCTAAATCTCCTGGCACAGCAGAACAGCTGATGGTCGGAAAAATAACAATTTAGCAGGTAAGGAGTGAGTGGGCGGGGAGGGTTCCTGCAGGCCATGTGGGCGGTGCAGCCTTATGTTCCCTTGCAGCCTGGATTCATTGCTTTGGGGGGTGGGGGTGCTGTAGGGTGAGATTTCTCTGCGGCCCACCAATATTTTCTCATGGCCCACCAGTGGGCTGGGGCCCACCGGTTGGCAACCACTGCATTAGAGCAGTGTTCCAACTTGAAGACATGTGGATTTCAGCTCTCAGAATTCTGACAGGGTTAAGCAGCTCCCCCAATCGCCAGACCCCTGGGGTTTTTAGGCCAGAAGGAGGCCCCCTGGGCTTCTCTGTAATGCTCCTTTCTTTTCTGTCTTCTTGCCTGTTGCAGGTTCAGCTCCCGCCCCATCTGCCTCGGCCACCAATCCATTCCAGGCAGCGGCAGCCACCCCGCTGTCACTCAATCAGCTCCGTGTCAGTCCGGTACTTCCGTTGTGCCAGCCAGCGCCACCAGCGTTTCCTGCCACAGCTCCAATGGTCTCCGTATCCCCCATGGCTCCTGGGATGCCCTTAGCCTCCGTTTCCCCCATGGTGGCAGTGCAGCCCTTGGGGGCTGTTCCACCTCTGGGGCTGCCTGCCATGGGGCTGCCCCCTCAGAACCTGCCCCCTGCCGGCATTGTTCCCAGCAGCACTTCGGCCTCCACCCTGGGGAGCACCAACCCTTTTTTGCTATAACTGGAGGACCTTTGGCCCGGTGTTGACCACCCAAACATCCTCTTTCGCCCTGTGTTCCCCATTGGCAGTGGGGCCCCTCCGGCGGCAGCCACCGAGCAGGGGCAGCAGCTGGATTTGGGGTGGGAGGGAGGTGGAAGGAAGGGGAGGGACCGAAGTCCTTGCAGGCCCTCCGCCCTCATGCCGGGAGGCCAGGGGAGCCTTTCGGCAAACCAGTTTCCCCTTTATCCCCAGCCCTGCTCTGCAGGGACCTGGAAGGATCCGTTTCTACTACCAAAGTCTAGGGAGCCACAGGGGTCACACCCAGTGACCAGTTCAACGGGGAGGAATCTATTCACAGGAGCAGAACTGGGGTAAAGGCGGGGACAGGACTCCTCCTTATAAATGATATTTGAACTCTACTTTTTTTTTTTTTTTTAATACCTACCCAGATTTGGGAGGTAATGGCAGATTTGGAATATTGATATTCATTTCTTTCTTTTTTTTCCTTTTCATTTCTTTTTTTTTTTCTTTTGTTCATCAAATCTCTGTCCTCTCCTTTGTGGAAGGATAGAAGAAAGGGAAATTGCTAACTCCTTACCTCTGTGATCTTCCGGATGAAATTATTTGGATAAATGAAGACACGACCTTTTAAATTAATGGGGTTTTTTTTCCCCCCTTAGATACTCCCCTTCCTTCCCTTCTGAATGTTTGTTGCATCTTCTTCAACCTCCCTCTCTCCCACAACCCCTTAGCTGGGGACCGGTTTTTCGGGATTTTTTTCCCCCCCTGAGGAAGTAGGGGTGTGTGTATGGGGGTAACAGGAACAATTGACACCTTAGAACACATCTCCCTCTGTTCTTAGGATCAAGAGAGATGTCACTAACTTAATGCCAGACCAGGTCACGCTTCTAGGCCTCTTACCCCCTCCTAAGTCCACTTTCTGCAAATGTTGGACCCTGAAGGAATAGCCTTTTGCAGGAAATACAGGACCTTACCAAGGCGTTGAGTGGGTCAATGGCCGGGAAGGCCTTGAAACACTCAACGCAGCCTACTGTGAAGGGGAATCTGGAGGCCGCTGAAGGCCAGGCGTTCTGAGAGGCTAGAAAGTCTTTAAAGGCAAAACTTGCCATGCTGCACCATGACTGGGCTTGAAAGCCTTTCTTGGCCCGTGTCTTGGAAGGCCTGAAAGACTAAAGCCCCTGCTGGATTTTGGAATAGCAGGATCTAAAATTCTCTGTCCTGGTCTGCAGGCCACAGCCAACTCAGCCGCGGAATCTACTGAAAACAGTGGGGCTCGGTGCCCAGCAGAGTTGAGAAGCTCTTCCTGCCTCTGGCCCAGCGGCCTTCCCGACATGGCCTGCGTGGCAGCGGCCTTCCGTGTCTTTGTGGGTTGGACATCCCTGTGGCCCACCAGGAAAGCGCCGTTTCTCAGACGCACAGCCAGACAAGAGACCTGCTCTTCAACCAGCACAACTCCGCAAGAGCCTCGAAATGTTCTTCGGGTTGGTGGGGGGGGAACAGAGAGAGGGACAGGGGATGTTGGGTGGTCACTTTTACCCCTTCTATAGCAGCAGCAGCAGCAGCAGAAGCTTGTGGGGGGGGGGGAGTCACGGCTGTGTGTGTTTGTGTGTGTGTGTGTGTATGTGTATGTGTTGCTGCTTTTTTAAATTCCTCTTTGATGCTGGGGAGGGGCGCTCGTTAGCACCCAGGACAATCTTGTTCTTTTTACCGCCCCCCCCCCCCCCCAAAAAATCCTTGGTGTGTGTTTCCTTTCCCCCCCCCCCCCCCCCCCCCCCCCCCATCATGCTGGGGTTGATTTTTCTCTCCTCCTCCTCCTCCTCCCCCGCCCCCCATATCGGTATATTTGAATCATTGTGTCATTTGTTGGGGGTGGGGAGTGATTTAGCTGTGTGTGACCCTCCCCCTTGGCTCTGTCCCCCTGCCTCCATTTCCTCCTCCCAGGTTCCACACCGATTCTGGTATGCTTCAGAAAAAAAAAAATGCTATTAATGAAATGAAATAAATGGAAATTCTTCTATGGCATCCAAAGGCTTTGGCCCCTTTGAGGTTTGCTTTATAGGGAAAACGGTTGCGTTGGGCTGCTTCTGTTTAGCAATAGCAATAGCACTCAGTCGTATATGCCGCTTCGCAGTGTTTTACGGCCCTCTCTAAGCAGTTTACCAGAGTCAGCTTATTGCCCCCAACAATTTGGGTCCTCATTTTACTGACCTCAAAAGGATGGAAGGCTGAATCTACCTTGAGCCAGTGAGAATCGGACTGCTGGCAGTTGGCAGAGTTACCCTACAATACTGCATTCTGACCAGTGCGACTGGCCCTACCCGTCATCGCAAGGCTTCCCTGGATGGCAGGCAGGATTCCCGGAGATCTAGAGCAGGGGTCGCCAACCTTTTGGACCTCGGGGACCACCAAACTCATAATTTCCCAGAAACCCTGGGAAAATCCCAAAACAAGTCTGCAGGAAATTTCCCCCACCCCGTTTCCCGACCGATCGATCATCCTTTATTTGAGATTGCAGGATACCGTCTCCAGCTCCGTTCTCGGGGGTAGAAAGAGAGAGAGGGACTTTTGGCTTCGTGTGAGGAAAGCAGCAGAAGTCTTTCTTTCTCTCCCCCTAACTCCGCCAGAAAAGAGACTTGTTGCACCAGCGCAGCCTCTTGGAGCAGGATGCCTTGCAGGATCCCAAAGATTCATTTCTGGCGGAGTTTGTGGGAGAGAAAGAAAGAGCTTGAGTGCAGCCAAAAGCAGAAGAAAGAAGCGGAAAGAAGCAGCTCGGTGGCCAGGACAGGCGGTGTGGGGCAAGTGGGGTAAGTTCCCCCCCCCTCTGCTCTTTCACCCCTCCCCTCACTGCCCCATGTTTGCAATGCAAGCGACACAAGCCTTGTTTTCCACAGGCCATTTGTGTTTCCGCGCATGCTAGATTAATTGCTTTGGGGGTGACATTTCTCTGCCGACCACCAAAATTTTCTCGTGGACCACCATTGGTCCCCGGCCCACTGGTTGGCAACCACTGATCTAGAGAACAGCCTAATTAAGCACGCTATGTGTTTGATGAGCTGTGAGCCCTCCTGAATGACTCTTTCCCCTTTGTGTTCCTTACAAAGGAAGGAACACTGGTTAAGCCAAGGTTGTGTGGCTGCACACATGATGAGGATATAAAGTTGTCCTCTCCATGCGAACAAAGCAGAAGCTTTGATCGGGATTTGAAATTCTGATGGTCATTATCCACACACCCCTGCAGTCACAGGACTGAACTTCAGGCAGTTGGGTTGCATGTATGATTGTTTGAGGCCTCTCGTGGCCACAGGACTGCCTTTTACAATGGCTTTGCCAAAAACTGGTGCTTAGTTCTGGTTTTCAGCAAAGCCATGCTCTCAGTAAATCGTTGCTTTACTTAATGACCATGATATTGCTTAGCAATTGCCACAAAAAATGTAACATCAAATACCATAACTTACACACTGTTGTGAGGATAAATAATCCCACTTCTTTAAACAGTTTAATTTTGGGCATCATTAGAAGCTAGGAGGACTTGGGATGTTGAATTCTGGAGGGCTGGGCATGTTGATTTCAGGGGGGCTTGAGTAGTCTGCTACTGGAGAAGTTAGGGCAGCCTCTTCTGATTTTTCTGAAGTTTCTGAACTGTCGTTACCTTCATCTTCATTGTCTTTATCATCTTGCGATTCAGTTTCATCTTGCAATTCAGTTTCATCTTCATCTTGCGATTCAGTTTCTTCTGGTGCCTTTTTACGACAGCAGTACCTGCAGCACGGAGGAGTCATGAGTGCAGCCTTAAACTGCTCCATTTTAGGCCGTGAGTGAAATTGATCAGCAGAAGTGCTGTCAGGTTCATTGGCATGGTCCCATCACATGCCCAACAGTGCTGCAGGTAGTCCTTGGGTTATGACCACTGGTTCATCAGCCACTCACTAAAGTTAAGACAGTGGGCCTTGGGCCTATTGCAGTGTTCCCAAGGTCAAAGATCACAATTCAGGCACTTGGCAACTGCCCAGCAATTACATTTTACACTGTCCTGCAGTTACATAATCACCACTTGTGAATTTCCCTGCCAACTTCCCTAAACAAAGTCAGTAGAGACGCTGCAAGACGCCACAAGTTGCTCCCATTCCTGCTACTTTATTGCTTGCCTATGCTCTGTATTGCCCACCCGCTTACCTGTGGGACTCGCCCACACTCCACAATATCCCCCATAGGGCTTGCAGTCATCAAGTCCTCACTTAACAACCTGTGTGATCTTGGATTTAAGATGCTAAGCAGTTCAATCAAATGATACCACATTTTATGACTGCATCACTTGGAATGGAAATTCCAGTCCCAACTGCTGTTGTATAAAATGGGCCTGCAATAAAAATGCTTTATCAAATTGTGGAAATTTTCAGATTTCATCAGACGTTCATTGAACCCCATAGCTCACACTCAAACATTAACTAGGCAATTCCAGTGCCCGATTTCCCCGGGCTCAGAGCAATTGATATTCTGCATGAGTCTCTTCCAACTTAGCACCCGAGTGTAACATTCCTAACAGCAGGAGGAGGTCACGTTGCAAACAATGCACGGAACGATAAATATGGGTGATTCCCCACCAGAATGGAGAATGGAGTCCGGATCTTGCTGTTGCTCTTGCACATTAAGAAGGGTTCAAACCTCTGGGATCAAGAGAATGCAACAAAAGTTAAATGGAAAAATAGAAGGAACTGGGTATATTTATCCTTGAGGAGATTTTGGGAAGGGGATGATTGATCAAAGCTGTAAGAAAGCAAATTTCTGAATGTAGAGGGAAATAGCAAGAAAGATCAATAATAGAATCTATTTCCCAGAGAGGTAATGTACATCTTTTTGCTGAATTGTCCAAGCAAACATCTGCTCAGGATGCATTGATTTAATACCTGTGCTGAGCAATAAGGTTGGATTCCATAGCCTAAAATGATCCTTCTAATTCTGCCATTGTCTGATTCTGCAAATGCTAAGCAACTCACCATATTGCAACTCCCACTACTCCCAGCAAGACTGTAAGGGTTATCAACACGGCTGCAACAATATTGGTTCCTGCAGAAAAGGGAAAGTTCAAAACAGAAACCTGGCGATGTTCCATTAACATCTCTATGAAATAAATCTATCTCTTTGAAACTTTTCCAGTCAGGAAGCTCACCGTAGTGTAATTAACATTATGCACATCGGTAACTTTTCCTTATGTATTAGAAGGTGATTGATTTCTTTATGGGAAATTTACAATCCTGCAGGCACAGGTTTCTTGGCAGGATTGCAGCCAGGTGAAAGGTTCAGGGGTGTGTTCCTGCCTGATTCAGTTAAGGGATTCAGTGGAGATGGGGGGATTTTCCACACATCACCAAAAACAAACAATAGCAACAGCAGTAGCACTTATATACTGCATCACAGTGCTTTACAGCCCTCTCTAAGCAATTTTACAATGGTATTGTCCCCAACAATCTGGGTACTCATTTTACCGACCTCGGAAGGATGGAAGGCTGAGTCGACTTTGAGCCAGTGAGACTCGAACTGCTGGCAGTCAGCAGAAGTAGCCTGCAGTCAAGTGGATGTGTTATTGAACCAATTTTCCTTCTTTTCTTAGCAGCGAGCAAGTGAAAGGAAAAGAGCTAAATTAAGACTCCCTTAATAAGAAGTCCAGAGTGAGTGAAATAATTTTATATATTAGTGAGGGACGAAGGAGAAGCTTTGTTGCAATTTTTATCCTATTCCACTAAGGGGTATTTCTAGTTTTCCTCTCCATGTCTGTATTAATTCCACAGCAATGTTGTAAAATTAATGTAAGCTGAAGAGTGATCTACCTGAAGCTGCCTAACTAGTTTAATAGCCTGTGCCATCTCAAAAATCTTAGGTTTTACCCTATAATCACAGAGGTAAAAAAAAACATGCATTTTAAAGCAGCTTTTTTATGAGTCACAAATAGGTTGATATATTTTCCCATTGGTGCTATTTCCTTCTTCATCGCAAGGAGATTCTGAATTTATGTCTAGCCCACCATTATTGGATCTCAGGGTATTCTATACGTGCAGTTTGTTTCAACGGAGACAAACAGAGATGGAGAAGTTGGGGAATAAGGAGAAGGAGATGGCAAAAGACAATCACCTGTGCATATTCTGAGGTCATAGCAGGAAGCCTTGAGAATTTGGCAGTTTCTGCACTGCACCACTTCATAAGGTCGAAACCGCGATTGGCCTGTGGAAGTGATGGATGAGATGCTGTTAGATCGATACCTCCATACCCTGTGCAACATAAACACCCATGTTCTCAGCCAGACTTGCCCTGATCTACAAATAGAAGATTAAGACAATAATACTTCGATAATACATGCTTTAGTCCACATGAAATGAGCATCCACCCTTTGCAAAGGGAAACAGTTATTATAGTTTTTGAACCCCAGCATGACGAATTCCAACCAGAGATGGCATGATTAAAACCGAAACCATCCTACATGTGGCTGGTTGCAAGGGGGGAGGGAAATCTAGTCTGTTATTTATACCTGAAATAATCCAAATCACATCCCAAGCTGATTATGTTTTAGGCCTAGATTTAATTATATTTAGAATAAACTTATTGAAATCAATGGGGTTATACTGTAATTACAAACTGAAGCTTTGCTGATTGCAATGGACTTGCTCTGGGTCTGCACCCATTCAGTGAATTTAATCAGCGCATTATCTACTTTGCCTTTAGAAATCCAGATAAAATTGACCCGGTCAATCTAGAATGTTGTCCTGTCTCCTCTTTGAATCCTTGTGCCATTAATTTAAAATATTTTTGTGTCCGAGGAGTACATGCCCCTGTTGTTTCAGATGCTAGAAGGCCAAGCCATAACTTGACCACTACCTGGAAATGGATTAGTCAGATATTTCTGGCCCTTTGCCCCTCTTTTTTGAACATTCTAGAAATTGAATTAGGTGCGTTCCTTGAAGGAATCAGACATCCATTTTGCCAGATCTTAAGGGAAGGAAAAAGAAAAGAAAAATGTGTTATTCATAGATTTGCTGACAAATGAGCCCGTAATAAAGAGGTGGAGAACAGATGTAGACCTACCTGGCTGAAGTGCTCCGCCTGTGGTCCTGTATAGACATCACTACATTTATAAACCTGTCTCCACAAATCTGGGATAGTAGCAATGGCTATGGCACTTGGACTTATATCCCACTTCAGTTTATAGAGTTACAGAGTCAGCCTATTACCCCCAACAATCTGGGTCCTCATTTTACCGACCTCAGAAGGATGGAAGGCACCTTGAGCTTGGTGATATTTGGATTGCCAAATTGCAGGCAGCTGGCAGGCAGCAGAAGTAGCCTGCAGTGCTGTATTCTAACCACTGTGGGTCCCTTTAATTCTCAGCTCCTGCGAGGACTTGTGTGAATTGTTCAACACTTTTGGAAATATTGGGTGGGGGAATACTGTTTATTTCAAATAAGAATTCTTCTTTTTTCCCCGGAGTGTGGAAAGTGAAAAAAAAAATAGATTCTCCATTTATAATGAGATTTCAGCCCTGTCAGGATGGCTGCTGGAGATACTTCCCTTGCCTGGCTCTGTACAGTAAAGAGTTCATTTTGCAGTTAGGAGGAACCAGTGAACCCCATCGCTACTAATAGGCAAAGATTCACACACAGGACCATGGAGAATTTCTTTTAAAATGGGGTTTCTTGGGCCAGGAGGATGCATGTCTGGCCTGTTTAGGCAAATGAACTCACCACAGGAAAAACTGCAGACTGTGAAGACATAAAATGGAGAGAAAGGATGAGCATCAGAGAATGAATTCCAGCAAATTTCTTTCACTCCTGGTCATAAATTCAGTATCCTGTCCAAAAAGTTATTCCCCAGCCCACATCTTAAGTTGTCTCTGTTAGCATGTTCCATTGCTCTAAATCAGTATTTCTCAACCTTGGCAACTTTAAGGTGTGTGGAATTCAACTCCCAGAATTCCCCAGCCAGCATGGGATTTGAAGTCCATGCATCTTAAATGGCCAAGGTTGAGACTGCACTAAATAGTCTGCTGCCAGCTCTTCTAACCATCACACATGCTGCTTCTATTTTAATTTTCCTGAACTGGCTTTGTGTTGATTGTTCTAGCCAGACTCTGGAAACACAGAAAAAGCTGTTTTACAAGTTATGTACAATGTATGTGGCTTCTTGATTCGAAGAATGGAGTTGTCAATGAAAAAAATTAAATCAACATCCTTAAGCAAATATTGTTTCTTGAATCCTATTCATTCCTCCAGAAGGAGCATTTTCTGTTCTGAGAGGACTCGTGAGGTGAAATAGTTCGCTGCTTCTAATGTCTAATTTGGTCCTTTCAGGAAATGGGAGACTTTCAAAATTAGCTTAATTGTATCATAAGAAACATTAGGTTCTCCTGTGCAGTGGCTACGCATCCAGATTTAAAAAGGACAATTCGATTTTTGAAGGGTTGATCAAGTTCAATGTAAACATTAATAAGAAAAATAAAACTGGAGGATTCAAACATTTCCCTTCGTATGTCCAAAAGTCAGTCAAAACTGACCACAAAAGAGACTTTTCTATTCCCAAACAGCTACTTTTGAGGCCGGACACAATTTTTGTATCATTGGGATCACAACATGTTCTGAGATCCTAGGATTAGGCGGAGAGGGAAAACTCTGTAAGGCTATCAGATCTGAGCTGCCACATTCCAAGTGGCCACTACATGGCAGCAGAAAGAAAACATTGCTGCCATATATTGTTTTCTTTTTTAAATCATGTTGATATTCAAATGAATAAAAACCACAAGTACATATAATCCAATCCAAAACTCCAGGATCCAATCTGAGCTGGTCACTGGGACCATCAAGCTTTCCGGCTCGTGCTGAAGCCCATTCTTTAAAAACAAATGCCTATGGGGCAGTGGTGGGATTCATTTTTTTTTTACTACCGGTTCTGTGGGCATGGCTTGGTGGGCGTGGCTTGGTGGGCGTGGCAGGGGAAGGTTACTGCAAAATCACCATTCCCTCCCCACCCCACTAACCTGCTTTCCAGCTCTGTTCTCCTATGCAGGGCAACAAAAGAAGACTCAGCCAATCAGCTGGGACTCAGGAGGCAGAGAACAGATAGGGGCGGGGCCAGTCAGAGGTGGCATTTGCCGGTTCTCTGAACTACTCAAAATTTCCACTACCGGATTACCAGAACTGGTCAGAACCTGTTGAATACCATTTCTGCTATGGAGACTCTTAGTCATGGTGGTCCCAAAGGTACTTTTTTAAAAGAGGCAACTAGACTTTCTGGTTTTTCTTTGAAGATGTTTCGCTTCTCTTCCAAGAAGCTTCTCCAGCTCTGACCGGAGGGTGGGCGATAGAAGGATTTATACTCCTTGCAGACAGCTGGTGATTTGCATTCTTTTAGCAGGTCGTTAAGGTCACCTGGAGGTTTATCTATGTCAATATGGTCATCTTAATGGTGTGGAGCCTTCTTGGAACTGTTGAAAGGACTGTGTTGTAGGCTGGATATAGATGATGTCGTATCCCTCCCTCTCTGTTGAGACAGGGCTGTTGAGCAGCCTTCAAAGAAAAACCAGAAAGTCCAGTTGCCTTTGGGATCCTCTAAAAGCAACACACAACCAAGCACCACATAAATAATATGCATAGAACGGTCCAGTGCACACTTTCTGGAGAGAGAGAAGTTCCGTGAGGATGGGCTCCAGCACAAGTCTGAAAACTTGGAAAAATAAATCTCTGGTCCCAGTGACCAACATTATCCTGGGACAGAAGCCCAGCACAACCACAGAATTAAAAACGATTATGTTTATTGATAAACATCCTATTGAGAAGGTGTTGACCTTGGAGCCATAGATAATTTCTCCAGAATTACAAACTCTTATTTGTTTGTTTCCTTATACGTTGCCCTTCTTTTTATAAATAACCCATAGTAGCAAACATAACCAATAATCATTTCTCCTGTTTTCCTCACAACAACCCTGTGAGGTGAGTTGGACTGCGAGAGAGTGACTGGGATTCTAGTCCTGCCTTAACCACTTAGACCAAACTGATTCTCATCAAACTACACTGGAAGTTTAAATGCAGTAATTGCATCTGGACTAACTCTGCTGAGTAACAAGGTCTTCAGTTGAGCATCCTACCAAGAAGCACAAACACAAATGTTTTAATTCTTCAAAAGCTTTAAAAACATTTTCCCCCCTCAGAGCTGAGTTGATGCAAAGAACAGGTATCATGAGGGATCCATTTTATTCATTTTACAGTTGTCTGGATTCTTGAAGGCTACTTCTTGTAGCTTGACTAATATTTTAAAAGGTCTGTCCTTCACAAGAAGTTAGTTTTATATTAGAAGGATCAATGATCTGGCTCAGCATGTGGCTGTTTTCTGAATGAACAGAAATGGAAGAATTTGTGAGAAGAAAACAGAAAAATACACCTACTTTCCTTCACAAAAAGATTAGATGCGTCTTCCAAACGTTTAATAAAGTCTGCTTTTTCCAATTCTGCTTCCTTCATCAGGACTTCATGATCTTTTGGTAAAAAGAAGGGAGACAAAGAGGGCAAGATTTTGAGATATAGAGGAAGGAGCAGCTGCTTCAGGCTGTGGAAATGTAGTGCAAATAATGAATAAATCAAGTATTCTACAAGAGTTAATTACAATTTTTTGAAAGGACATTAATAAATTACCTGCAATAAGAGGCAATTAATGAATGTTTTGCTTAGAGTAATGGGAGATTTAGGTTAGCTAGAAAGCAGAAAATTGTTGGATTTCTTGCTTTCTAGATAATCTAAAAGCAGAGCTGAACCTTCTTAGCTTCTATTTTTCAGTTCAGAATCAGATAGCAGATTACAGAATGGTAGATCTCTCAATGAATCTGTGATTCTGTGAGCAACTCAATCTGCCTGTCTGCTTTGCCTGATTTTGGGTAAAAGTTTCTCTTTTTTATAAAAAAAAATCAATATTTACATAAATATTTATAATATTTACATACAAGCCATGCCCAGCCAGTCACATGACCACCAAACCACATCCAAAATTAGACCATGCCCACAGAACCAGTTGTTAAGAAATTTGAATCCCACCCCTGGTGAATTCATTGTCTGCAATGGGTGCTTTTTGCTGGAAACCAGAATTAAATGCCAGTTTTTGACAAAAAAAACATAAGTTGTGGTCACATAACCGTGGGACACTCAAATGGCCATAAATGAGGACCAGTTGCTGAATGCCCAAAATGCAATTACATGATGGGGGCGGGGTGGGGAGGAGGTCAACCATTGCAACTTTGAACGATCCCCTAAGTAATCAGATGTAAGTCGAGGACTAGCTGTAAAAGCCCATCAAATCTTGCAAACCAGGCCATTTTGCCGCTATAGTTACATGACCAGACACTCTTAGGGACAGCTGCATGCAGGATTGAACTTTGTACACTTCTGATTGAAGAAAAATGTATGGAATATCAAATTAATTTTCTGGAAACAGAGACAAATTTCTTGATAGTCAGAACATGTTAGGGCGATGTTACTCAACTTTGGCAACTTGAAGATGCGTGGACTTCAACTCCCAGAATTCCCCAGCCAGCCATGGGGATTGAAGTCCACAATCTTATAACTGCCAGGGTTGAGAAACCCTGTATTAAGAGACCATATAATAGCATGAGATCACAAGCAATTTGTAGAAGGAAAGGGGGTAATTCAGTTCCTACTTTTTTGACTTTTCTGTATAATTAGTTCGAGATGATGAAAGAGATTGCCAGCCTCCCGTTCCATATGTTCTCGTTCTGCAGACAGAGAAAAACACAGAAAACGATGTTTGTGGGAACTTATTTTGTCAGATCTTCCAAGCATACTCTTGCACTCTGTCAAAAGTGACCAGGACTAACTTAGAACGTATCCTACTATGTAATGGAGATTTTTCCAATTTAATACTCTTAAAAAATACTAGGATCACAATGCCTACTAGTATTCTCAGCCAGCATGGCCAAACACATTAGAGGATGATGCCAAGTTGATGAAGGTCATTCAGTCATGCTAAACCCAGAACTAAACTAACACAAACATACTTTGCATCCATGTAGGACTATATATTTAATAGAAATATATTTTTCTGTTTTTATTTGTCTGGAAAGGGTCCCTGTTTTCTCAACCATTGCAGAGAATTTTTAAATTTTTCTATGACACACCCAGATCATCTCAGGCACATGAAAAGCTTTAGGGTATTTGTTTTGTTTTTCTGCCAAATTCAAAGAATGCATTTTGGAACATCTGGAATATGCATACAGCAATGTTCCTCATGAGTCCTTCATTGGAATGAGTTAGCAAACAGATTTTGTGTTATGCTTTTAAAAATGAATATTGGTTTCTTGTTTTTTTCAAGACACACACATTTTTAATTAAATCAACAATAATTTTCTCAAATTCAGCTTGGCCTGTCTAGAATTCCCGATTGGCTGGAAATCTTAAACAGATGGTCCATGACTTATGATCACAAATTGAGCCCAAATTTATGTTGCTAAGTGAGACATTTGTTAAGTGAATTTTGCCACACTTAACAAACTTTCTTGCCACAGTTGTTAAGTGAATCATTGCAGTAACATGGTTGTTAACTGAATCTGGCTTCCCCATTGACTTTCTTGTTAGATGATCACAAAATGTGATCACATGACCAGCTGTCATAAATATGAGTTAGTTGCCAAGCATCTCAATTTTGATCACAGGACATGGGGATATATGTGTGAAAAATGATCATCGGTTTTCAGTGCTATTGTATCTTTGAACAGTCACTATGTGAACTGTTGTAAATTGAGGACTACCTGTATAAACTAGCTTGCTATGATGTGGCAGTTTTTGCTGGATGACCTCTTCAATGTTTTTAATATCTGTGCTGTGTAGCAATTGTGAGCTGTCCCCTTAAGGGAATGCATCATGGTAAATGTAGTTAAGGTATCCTGAGAAATGTAGTCCATACATACGTAACCACATCGGTATTCCGGATTGGCCACTAAATTGATCCTCAAGGGGTTGGGGGAGGTTTCCTCACTCTTGCCTGAACACAGCCTCGTGGTAGCAGCTCTACCCGCTACCTCTACGACTATGGGATGGAAAGATTAATATCATGCAGCCGCTTCAATCATCATGGGGTTGAGGCTTTATCATTTTTTTTACCTACAAGACAGATATGCAAAGGATTGGTCATTAAAGAAGAACTTTGTCACAAATGTGAGTTATAAGGATACCTGATGAACCAATAAATGTACTTTGTTATGGACGTCTTGCTGAGTTTATCTATCTGCATCTGCACAGCTTACAAATCCACTACTGTGCAGAATACAGAACACTGTTAATATATTCTAAATAAGTCACAACTAAGACCTGACACTAATTTGTCTAATCCAATGACGTTTTAATATTTAGAGACAACCCTAAATTTTTGTTTGATGGCAACTACTGTAAACAGGCTAAATTTTGATGCATTTCTCTTAAACAACTATAATCCAACAAGCTGAATTTGAGAAAAATGCAAAACTGCTTTCTGAAACATTAAGATGTTATTATTTTCTTATTTTATTGTCATTAATGCTTTAGAAGAGCTAATTTCCCAACACATTTTTAACTGTAGCATATTCTCTTCAACCTTAATTTCTATATTACAACCACTCAATGAAATCATTAAAATGTTCAAACTACTGGGCCAGTTTTGTCAATATGTGAGCTGTAATAAAGATTGATCATTCATTCATTCATTCATTCATATGTATAAATGCTCGTGTTCTTTAAGAGCACGTTTTTCAGCTTCTAGGCTTTCTCTTACACCTCTAGCACAAAATGGACATCAAAAACAGAATTTGTGTCTCAGCTGGGCATAGTCTGATTCAGAAATGGGCATTTTACACTCAGCAGAGGTTCCTATCAGAGGCAACCCTGCTCAGTTCTTCCCTTAATTTTATATACCCAAATATCCACTGCCATACGAAGCAAGCTCTTTAACATTTCCCAGGAAAAGCGTCCCCAGATGATCAGAGGCAGCTGAATCCTGTTGCAGCAGCAAGTTAGCATCGTAAATAAAATATGCAGCAGCATCTGGCCAGCAGCGGAGGCAGGTACTAGCCAGTTGTACGGGGACAGCCCATAGAAGTAATCCGAGCAGAAAGGCTGTAGCCATGAGAACCAGAAATCAAAAATAGCACTTCCTGTGTCAAGATGACATCTGCAGTGGCTTATGCAGCATCAAACATCACTTCCTGTTCTATTCCTAGCATCACAAATGCTCACACCCATTGCCTAGTGATTTGTTCTTTCTCCTTGGCAACGTTTCCCTGGGTCACGGAGGTGGACTTTCCCCTGCGATTGCAGACTTCAGGAAAGAGGTTGCCTTGGTTACAGTCTCGTAAACTGTCGGCCATGTCATGGTACTCCAGGTTCTGCTGGCTTGCTTCTTATGGCTCTTATCCTTCCAGGCGGCGGCCGGCTGTCTTCAGTGTGACCCCCATTTCTTGAAATGGGTGGCGTCTGTGCTGAAGGAGACCCTGCCAGGTGACCTTCCAAACCGCGATTCCCTGATCACAAGGCACATCCAAGCCTTGGCAGATTTGCACGGCACCTTCCTTCGGAGGAATTACGAGCGAATTTTAGGTGTGACCAGAAGGCAAATAATCTTCAGGGGTGGGAAGGGTGGAGATTAGGGCAAGACTAGAGGATGACATCTCTGAATATCTTTTTGCAGATGTCAGAGGAGTGTTCGAAATCAAATTGCACATTATTAACCAGTTAAAAACCATCAAAAGAAAGCAGTGGAAAGGTGAGCAAGAAGAAACTTGGGTAGGGATTGCAACTGAATGTGGACTGTGGTTATAATCTGCCTTCAGGAAATAATCCCTTGTTAATTATCTTAATTATCCCTATAAATGCAATCACTGAAGTGGGCTATTCTCCATAAATAGTGCTGGAAACTATCTTTAGCACCCTCAGTTATTTATAAAAGTAATAACGGCAGGAAATAAATAAACACACACACACACACACACACACATACACATACATATACATACGTACATACATCCTGCCTTATTATTTTTATAAATAACTCAAGATGCTAAAGATATCTAGTACATTTTCCTTCTATTTTTCCCACAACAATCCTGTGAGGTAGGTTGGGCTGAAGGTGACTGGCCCAAAGTCATCCAGGCAGCTTTTGTGCCTGAGGCGGGATTAGAACTCACAGTCTCCTGGTGATTGGTCTGATGTCATCAGGCCAGCTTTCATACCTTAAGGGGGTGAGAAGGAACTCACTATTTATACCGCTGCATTACATCTTCTGGCAGCTACATATCAATCTGTCACTAGTGAGGGATGTTGGAAACTTGAAATCACTAGGAAAATTCCACTCTTAATCTTGTCTTAAATCTTGTGGCCTCAGACATTGCCTCCATTAAATGAATAGATTCAAATACAGCATCAATGCATAGCATTTTTAAACAGTTTACTAAACAGAACACAATTGGTTCAGTTCTCACAACACAGTAAGAGAAGGATTGACAACTGAGTTTCTGCAGACATCAATCTCAAATCAGAAGTCTCCATTTGTCACCACTACATTTTGTGTCCATCTGACCCTTGTTTTGAAAGATCTTGGATAAAAACCTTAACCACCATACGATGCTATGAAGCCAGGTAGATGCACCTGTCCTTATTATTAATTTCACCCCTTCTCCCCACCATCAATTGTCAAAAACTATTCTGCTGAAAATTTAGTTTGTAGATCCTCCACTGCACACCTGTGTTCAATAGTGTTGCGGGAGAGAGGGAAAAGCCATTTTCCTTCCAACTCTTAGCTCAGAGTGGTCATAATGGAATTAGAACCAACCTACAAGGAATCTGAATTGAAAAGACTATGTTGGAATCAAAAGACATTCAGGAGGACTTCAGGGCTATCCTGAAGGAAGCATCTCTCTCTTATTAAAGCAGCGTGGTTCTACACAAGACTTCTACCTCAGACTTCTACACAAACATAGCAAAACGTGCCACTGCTTAAAGAGTTGTGTTAAGTTCTGGGACTGAATTCCTTGAAGCAGCTACATCTGCTTGCTTTACTGATTTATGGTTGGAGGCCACAAAAACACTTCACCATAGTTCAAAGACAGGCTGTTTTAATAAAAGAGATCTGCACTTACATAAGATGTGCAACACTTCTGAATCTGTGGGGTCTTCAGTGGTCTCTGAGCTTGGTCGTTTTGTTGCAGACATTTCATTTCCCAACTAGGGTAGTCCAACCATGTTGAGCTATAAATTCTACTGATACTTTTGAATATTCTCCAACCCAGTCTTACTCAGAATCATCATCTCTTCCATTTTTCTCCTCTTCTACCTTCCCCTTAGGAGTTTTTCTGTGGCAGTTCTCTATGTACCAGCTACGCTTTGCCTTGAGAAAGAAGATTCAGCAGATTCTGGAGAAATTTGCTGATCTTGGTATCAATCCTGAAGAGTGAACAAAGAGAAGGCGAAACTTCCAACACAACAGATCTCCATCATATATATGTGGACGCACACACACACAACACATACCACTTTGCAAATCTAATAACTATGATAGTTTTTTCCAATCTTGGCAACTTTAAGATGCGTGGACTCCAATTCCTAGGAATCCTGGAAGTTGGAGTCCACACATCCTAAAGGTTGGAAAACACTGTTTTATGAATTTCTATTTTTATAGTAAGTGTTCCAGGTTAAATGGAATGGTGTACAGGTAGGGGGACTCCAAAAATAAGCAGCCATGTTGGATTGTGAAAAAAAAGTATCGCCAAATCTATAGTTAGGTAAAAGTATCAAGAGCATTTGCAGCACAGGAGATAGGGGTAAACCCTAGCAGAAGACATCCAAATCCTGATTTGCCTTTAAAGGCATCTTTGAAATGATGCTTCTGCAAATTGTATGTCCTTTTGAACCTGCCCTCAGAATTCCTTGATACTATCAGGGCAGAAAATTGGGGGTATCTGCTGAGGGTCAGTGGATATATGTTGAAAAAATTCAAATGATGACTGCAACTATAGCTGCCATCTTGAATTTTGCTCTTCTTTTGTGGCAGAAAGAAACATGGCGTTTTCCTTATGGAAATTGTGGGCCTTTGTCTTAATGAAGCAAGATTTATGTAGGGTTCCTCAGTGCCTTGAAGCCCAGGGGGTGGGGGTCGGAGTTGTGGGGAGAGTTGGAATTTATTCCTATCCAGAATCCAAAATATCCCATATATCATTCAGTGCCCTTCCTTAGTACTCTAGCTTAGGTTTGCATTCACCCATCAGTTCGAAAGATATTAATTTTATTTAGAAGATACCAATATCAAAACTGTCCCTTGAAAGCCTGTGAGACATCCCAGGACCACTGTCTCGATACTGTATTATTGAATTTCTTGCTTGCTTAGCATTCTGTTCTCCTGGGCATGTGATTCAACGATGTATTAGCTAGGAAAAAAGTATCTTAGAGTTTTCCGTCTCTAATACAATCCTTTTTTCTTTTTCTTTGCACCTTCTAGCTTGTTCAGAGGACTGCAGTAAGTATCAGACAAGTTTCGACCCTCACATCTTCAGTTGTTTACTACTTACACTAGTGTTTCCTAATCTTGGCCCCTTGTGGACTTCAACTCCCAGAATTCCGCAGCCAGCCACACTGTCCACACAGATAGCCAAGAATGGGAAACACTGACTTAGATGATGCATGCTTTAAGGATTGCTTTTTTGAAGTCCAACCCCGACATTCTTCTTTTGCAGCAGTGATAGAAGGACCTATTCTGGACTGCTGGACATGTCTACGTATCACCACACAGTGTTTTGATGGAGAAGTCTGTGGAGGTATGGATGGAGAAAGGGAAGGGTGATTTTTTTTTAAAAAAAAATTATTCTGTGTCTCAACCCATTGCCTTTTGAAATAGTTTTCCCATCTCCAGATTCTTTAACATATTGCTAGCCATAAACATTAGCAAGATTCTTTAATCTGATGGTGCCTTATGCATGAATACTATCTATTCATGCATAGGTAAGGAGAGGCCACCACAGATACAAAATAAGAAGCCCCTTTTGCCAAAAACCAGAAGTAAGTGTAGTTTTTGGTAAAACCATTGTAAAATATGACTGTGGGACGGTGCAAATGGCTGTAAATGCAGCCTTGTTGCTGAGCAAAGTTTGGTCACATGACTTTGGGGGTGTGTGGCTGTCAGAACTTGGAATCTGGATTGTAAGTGGCAATAACAATAGCATTTACTTATGTACCACTTCATAATGCTTTACAGCACTCCCTAAGCGGTTTACAGTGTGGGCATATTGCCCCAAACAATCTGGGATCTCATTTTACCAATCTCAGAAGGATGGAAGGTTAGCTCTAAAATAGGTCCGTCATAACTTAAAACAGTCATTAAAAGAATTGAATTATTTATTGTCATGGTACATATATACACAGTCTACATGCAACAAAATTCACATAACACCCAGAGACCAGACTCAACATGTACACACACACATGACAATCCCCAGACATCTCCCCACCCACCAAAATTCCCCGCCTCCTAAAAACACACAAGCATCCACACAACAGACCAAGTAATACTGTCCAACAGCTAACTGATGGTGGTCCTTAAGTTCATTGTTAAGTGCAATTATAGCTCTGGAATAAAAACTATTCAGAAAACGTGTGGTCCAAGTTTTAATTGTTCTGTAACTTCTGCTAAAGGGCTCAAAAGGTTCATAAAGATTGTAAGCAGGATGGGAAGAGTCTCTGAGAATGTTGTGCAACTTCCTCAAACAGTGAGATGCGAAGATGTCATCCAGGATCAATTATAAGTCAAGATTTACCTGTACTCCTCCCTTCTTGCTCCTCTTTAAAGATGCCCTTTTAGGCAATTGGACCAAGATATTGATGGGTCAGAAAGATACTCTATTCCAGCATTAAATTTTATGTGGGTTCACACAAGACTCTAAAACAAAACACAATTTTTGTGATGGCAGCTGCTTATCACTTGAAAAGTGAGCCCATCCAATTATGGTCTAATTGAAAAATATTGATTATGCAGCCCCAACTGTGAAAATTCCTTGCTTACATGCTGAGCTTCTTGTTAACAAAAAGCTAAAAAACATTTCTCTTCTTCAGTGGAAGACAAACGTCTGGCAGAATACAATG